CTGATTATAGGATGAGCCATGAATTGAATTGGAGGATCCCAAAATAAAAAGAGCAGGAAGCTGCAGGGATGGGGGAAGCCTAGGAGACTGCAGGCATATTTGCAGAGGCTCCAGGGAGCAAGAAGGCTCCTGCAGGGTCAACATGGGGAAAGCTGAAGAAGAAGAGAGTGGGAGAAAGCTCTCCAGTCAGCAAGGCCTGGCAAAGATCCCTGCCCAAATAGGGGAGGGGCTGTAAAGGCCTGTTGCGATGAGGAATATGTGACATTTATTTTGGGTTAATTAAACCAGAGTCACTGAACTGGGCTTGGGGCCTCGATGGTCTCTATGCACAGGAGCACTCAATAAATTGGAACCCAAGAGGGGACTGTTTGAACTTTTGTTGAACAGAGTGAGTTCTTAAAAGGGCCCTCAAGAGGGGAGGGAACAGAGGCAAAGTACTGCTGAGGCACTGTTGGACATAAGGGAGTGCTTGATTGACAGTCAGTGGCCATATTGCTACAGTCACTGTTGTAAATGACTGGACAGACAGACAGAAGGCTGTAAGGGCCTTATAGGAAAACCTGTAAAGCCTTAAGGCTATAGGGCAATGTTCTGATTTTTGAAGGTGCCAAGGACACTCAGCTCCCATTAACTTCAAAGAAAGAGGTTTGTTCTGGCTGGAACAAAAAAGATATCCCTAATGCTAAACTAATTTTTAAGTGTACTTTTTTGCCAAAGCTCCCAATTTCTGACAAGTTCCAGACCCTACCAAGGGCTCTTTTACACCACTAGCTCTCAGCAGATAAAGCCACCTCAAGAAATCTAATTGTAACCCACTTTGAGTGTGTGTCTGTCTCTGAGGAGGCCCCCGGCACTTCGTGGGTAAAGTCATAGGAGTTCCGAAACTGGCTTGCAGCCAGAGTTCAGCGGGCCTCCACAGAGTAGCACGAAGACATTGAGGGGGCAGGGAGATGGATTTTCAGGCTGGCAGCGATCACTGGATCTGATGTCCTGTATATCCGAGGCCATAGAATTTCGCTGAGTTTCCCCATATTGAGCCCCATAACTGGTTTCAGATTAAAGCATATCTTCCAGAAAGACACCCAGTCTTGATCTGAAGATATCAAGACACAGAAAATCCACCATTTGGTAGTTTAGTCGGAGTGATTGATCACTCTCACTGTGTTTAAAAAAAACAAACAAACAAAAATGGTTCTTGTTCTCACTTTCTCTACTAGGCTGAAGAGCCCTTGAGAATTTTCTTCCTGTGAGGGTACTTATACACCCTAATCAAGTTACCTCTCAGTCTTCTTTTTGATGATAAACTAATCAGATTGAGCTGTTTAAGCTTTTCCCCTTCCTGCCTTTGTTTGCAGGGGTGGTTTTGCTAAAGCAGAGGGATTGTGGGAGCGTGGCACTCTGCTGAATTTCTGCTGCCAAACCTCATATAGTAAGGTGAACTTCACAATTGGCCAAGATTTTCAGAAGCAGCTAGTGATTCCAGGTACACAAGTTGATTTCCAGAAGGCTGGTGCTCAGTGCTTTTGGAAAATCAGGCCCTTTAACATGTCTTAAGTTGCAGCCCTGAAAATTGAGTTCCCCCGACCCCAAAAGCTAGTCACGTTTTTGAAAATGTTCTCCTTCAAATGCATGCTCGCTTTGATCGCCACAACCCCACAGATCAGCAAGAACAGTACAGCTTTTTAAATTGAATTCAAGCAAATTTCAGCTGGATTCATATTCTTCTCTCTTGTATATCCAAGTGGGGAGAGCTTCTCTCTCTAAAGGCTCCACTAGGAGGGAAACATGACTGGGGAGAGGAGCTGATATAATTCATGCATGTGGAAGGATTTATTTAACTGGCCTGTTAAATAAATTACTCAAGATGCCAATATCATCTGTCTCCCCTATTAGAGCTCCTTCCTAGAGCAACTCAAGGCAATGGACTGTTCCCAGCCCTTTTTGACTTTTCCATAGCTGAAGCAACCACAGAACAGTTGCCCCAAGATGGACCCTTTGTAAGGTTTCAGAGTAACAGCCGTGTTAGTCTGTATTCGCAAAAAGAAAAGGAGTACTTGTGGCACCTTAGAGACTAACCAATTTATTTGAGCATGAGCTTTCGTGAGCTACAGCTCACTTCATCGAAAGCTCATGCTCAAATAAATTGGTTAGTCTCTAAGGTGCCACAAGTACTCCTTTGTAAGGGTATACCTTCAGATCAGCAGCACTGCTATGGGTACCCGCATGGCCCCACAGTATGCCAACATTTTTATGGCTGATTTAGAACATGCTTCCTCAGCTCTCGTCCCCTAACGCCACTACTCTACTTGCGCTATATTGATGACATCTTCATCATCTGGACCCATGGAAAAGAAGCCCTTGAGGAATTCCACCATGATTAAAACAATTTCCATCCCACCATCAACCTCAGCCTGGTCCAGTCCACACAAGAGATCCACTTCCTGGACACTACAGTGCTAATAAACAATGGTCACATAAACACCACCCTATACCGGAAACCTACTGACCGCTGTTCCTACCTACATGCCTCCAGCTTTCACCCTGACCACACCACACGATCCATCATCTACAGCCAAGCTCTGCGATACAACCGCATTTGCTCCAACCCCTCAGACAGAGACAAACACCGACAAGATCTCTATCAAGCATTCTTACAACTACAGAACCCACCTGCGAAAGTGAAGAAACAGATTGATAGAGCCAGAAGAGATCCCAGAAGTCACCTACTACAGGACAGGCCTAACAAAGAAAATAATAGAACGCCACTAGCCGTCACCTTCAGCCCCCAACTAAAACCCCTCCAACGCATTATTAAGGATCTACAACCTATCCTGAAGGATGACCCAACACTCTCACAAATCTTGGGAGACAGGCCAGTCCTTGCCTACAGACAGCCCCCCAACCTGAAGCAAATACTCACCAAAAAGCACATACCACACAACAGAACCACTAACCCAGGAACCTATCCTTGCAACAAAGCCCATTGCCAACTGTGCCCACATTTCTATTCAGGGGACACCATCACAGGGCCTAATAACATCAGCCACACTATCACAGGCTCGTTCACCTGCACATCCACCAATGTGATATATGCCATCATGTGCCAGCAATGCCCCTCTGCCATATACATTGATCAGACTGGACAGTCTCTACGTAAAAGAATAAATGGACACAAATCAGATGTCAAGAATTATAACATTCATAAACCAGTCGGAGAACACTTCAGTCTCTCTGGTCACGCAATTACAGACATGAAGGTCGCTATCTTAAAACAAAAAAACTTCAAATCCAGACTCCAGCGAGAAACTGCTGAATTGGAATTCATTTGCAAATTGGATACTATTAATTTAGGCTTAAATAGAGACTGGGAGTGGCTAAGTCATTATGCAAGGTAGCCTATTTCCCCTTGGTTTTTCCTCAACCCCCCCCCCCCCCAGACGTTCTGGTTAAACTTGGATTTATGCTGGAAATGGCCCACCTTGATTATCATACACATTGTAAGGAGAGTGGTCAGTTTGGATGAGCTATTACCAGCAGGAGAGTGAGTTTGTGTGTGTATGGGGGTGGGGGGTGAGAAAACCTGGATTTGTGCTGGAAATGGCCCACCTTGATTTTCATATACATTGTAAGGAGAGTGGTCACTTTGGATAAGCTATTACCAGCAGGAGAGTGAGTTTGTGTGTGTGGTTTTTGGAAAAAAAAAGGGTGGGGGGTGAGAAAACCTGGATTTGTGCTGGAAATGGCCCACCTTGATTATCATACACATTGTAAAGAGAGTGGTCACTTTGGATGGCCTATTACCAGCAGGAGAGTGAGTTTGTGTGTGGGGGGGCAGAGGGTGAGAAAACCTGGATTTGTGCTGGAAATGGCCCAACTTGATTATCATACACATTGTAAGGAGAGTGATCACTTAAGATAAGCTATTACCAGCAGGAGAGTGGAGTGGGAAGAGGTATTGATTCATGGTCTCTGTGTATATAATAAAAAGAAAAGGAGTACTTGTGGCACCTTAGAGACTAACCAATTTATTTGAGCATGAGCTTTCGTGAGCTACAGCTCACTTCATCAGCTGTAGCTCACGAAAGCTCATGCTCAAATAAATTGGTTAGTCTCTAAGGTGCCACAAGTACTCCTTTTCTTTTTGCGAATACAGACTAACACGGCTGTTCCTCTGAAACCTGTGTATATAATGTCTTCTGCAGTTTCCACAGTATGCATCCGATGAAGTGAGCTGAAGCTCACGAAAGCTTATGCTCAAATAAATTGGTTAGTCTCTAAGGTGCCACAAGTACTCCTTTTCCTTTGTAAGGGTATGGCTGTGCTGCAGTGACTCAGGACATGCATTGCAGCAGGTATAAGCATACACAAGTTAAGCTGTGATCAAGCTAGCTGACTAGCAACAGCAGCATTGGCAGGATGTCAGCACAGGCTACCACCCCAGAACCATCCCACCTGGGACCCCTGGTATGTACCCGGGTGGCTACCCCATGCCACTATTACTACACTGCTATTTTTAGCAAGCTAGCTTGATCCAAGCCAGCTCAGGTTTGCCTACCCATGCTGTCTGATTTCTGTCTCTGGAAACTGGTTCAATGATAAAAATACACACACACACCATATCACAAAGGACCTAGGAAGGTATACGGTGAAGACTATCTTAAGCGAGCAGCAGAAACTAGTGGGTCATCACAGTGGGTTGTACAGAACACCCAGAAGGAAGCTTTGAAATCGACACTTAGGAGCAGAGGATGCCAGTGCGGGGTGGTTTTTATTTTTTAGAGACAGTCTCGCGGCGTTTCCCAGCCAGGAGGATCCTTTGAATTCACTCTTGTTTAGCACTGTGCAATGGCAGTGACCTGACAAAGAGAAGCTCCTATTGGGCTATGTTTTCCCTTCGGTTGAACTATTGCAACTCCACTGAAGTTAACCAGGTTTTGCTGACCGAACAGAGAGGTGACCTGCTGCCTGTGTGGAAGATGAAAATGGGTGCTTACGAAAAGGCTGGGAATCACGGTGCTTCTGCCTCCAGTCCTGCCTTGGCTGCACAGTGTTGAGGTTCATCGCCTTCCTGGCATGGTGCCTGATGTGCCCCCTCTGATAGCCTGCTGCCGCTGCTTAGAAAAAGGTTGGGGCTTGTGGTCTTGGGAATAGATGTTCCAAGGTATTTAGGTGCCTGCAGGAGCAGAGAGATGCCTAGCGGGGTTTTCAAAAGCTCCTAAGCAGGTTAGATGCTTAACTCCTGTTACTTTGCTTCTAGTAATTTGTGCTTAAGGCCCTGTGACGAATCCCTGCTCTTGCTTGTGTATTGTGCATTGCTTGAGACTTCAATGGAAGACTGGAGAGCTGAGACCAGAAAACTCATTCAGCTAGTGTGAGATTCCCATTGGGTTTCCCCACATTGAGCGCTGGAGAAAACATAACACTGTCTGCTCCTCTCTTCCTAGGAGCCCATGTCTAATGCCTAGGGCTGGCCCATTGGGTGGGGGGTGATATGGGTCCCCCTCTGAACACTGATAGATGAAGCTTTGCACCCAACACAAGATTGTAAAAGCTACACTTACTTCAAAGCCTGTTTCCATGAAGAGGCCCCACTTGCCAAGTGTAGCCTCTTTGGGGTAAGGACCGTTCTTTTGTTTGGTGTCTGTACAGAACCTAATGCGATCCTGGTCCTTGACTAGAGCTCCTGGGTGCTGCCACATGACAAATAAATAATAATCATAATAATAATAATAACCACCATCATCTTTTCAGCCAAACACTTTATGCCTTACAAAACCTTTGCATGCCCACTCCCTCCCCGACCCAGCCCAATCAGTCCTTTCAGTTGCTTCCTATTCTCCAGCCATATGTACCGTAAAACTTGGTTTACATGGACAGCAGAGGCCTATTCAATAGCTGCTGGCTTCCTTCATTGTGATGAGACATGCTTTGGGCATGCCGAGGCTCTTTTCACTCAGCATGCATGTCTCCTCTTGTGGTTTTGGCCGTGTTAGGCCCCCTGGTTGAGTCCAGAATATTCCCTGCACATGCTTGCCTCTCTGGACTCAAGCACTATCATGTCAGTGGGATGGAAAATCTCTCCCCAACCGAAAGCACCTGGTGTGTTGAGCCTCTGGAGTATTAACATCCAGCTTTTGGGAATATAAGGAATTAATGTACTTCTTTTGCTGAGAGTGGAGTATGGCTGTTGTAAAAGAGCTTGCCATCAGTCTCCCTTGCTAGTTGCTGGTGTACAGACATCTTTTGGTTTAATTGATGATCTGGCAGAGAGGAAGAACCACTGTCAGGGATCTTTATAAAATGGCAAATACGGCCTTTCAGGGTCTCCACAGATATGGAATTGAGCCCACCCCAGATCAGTTCCTGAGTGGAGAGTTTGGACATGAGGTGTAGACAGAAAATTATGCCCCACTCCAGTCCAGTTCCCTGAATGGAGGGTATTATCATTGCATGTGACACAGGTATGTTCCTGTCTGTGTTCTCTGAAAGGCATGACTTCCAGGTCACTTCTGGCCACCCTTTGGTGCTACTGTAATGTAAACATGAATTAAATCATAAGCATCGTTTCTTCCCTAGTATCTGAGAGAGATGGGGATGTGGAATCTAACTTGCTTAGGCTCAGCCAGGATAAGGTGGAAAGTGGTTAATTCTATTGATTTATTGTACAGATTTATTTTATATATTGCTTGCTGAGCACAAGCTGAACAGATAACAGACCATGTCCTTGTGTGCCACATGGGGCTCACAATCTTAGACAGACATTTATAGTCCAAACAATCGCATACATGAATCAAAAGCACTGGAACACTGAGAACAACTGACCTCAACTGGAAGTGACACTAAGCAACTGGGGTTAACATCTCCAAGAATGGTACAGGCCTGCAACTGTAACTTCTCTTGGAGCTGTACATGAGTGTTTTGCCCGTATGGTTTACATTCTGCAGTCACGCTGGATCCATTACTCTTGGGCCTGACTTTTTCAGAGATGCTGAGTGCCAGCAGCTCCCATTGACTTCAACTGGAGTAGCTGGTGCTGAGCACTTCTGAAAACCAGGGCCCCTTGGATCTTCGGAGATTTTGGTGGCACGCACAGACTCATTTCATCTGCCACTGGCCCTGGGGCTCTGCTTGTTCCCCTTTCATGTGAACCTCTTCGCAATGATCTGTGCTTTTGCAACCTCCCAACAATGCGCTCTACTTGAAAAGCGCCGAACTAGTACAATATGCAGTGACTCACCTCTTCAGAAGAGTGTTCCACATTTTCCGCTGGCTTCCAGTTTGCTTCTGAGAAAAGCTGAAAATGTTGATTATTATGATGCAATATTTATATTGCATTAGTAATAATGCCTAGCTTTTATAGAAAGCTTTAGATCTGAAAGGGGATGTCTACGCTGCAATAAAACACCTGCAGCAGGGCTAGAGAACTGCACTGTCACCATCCAGGCTTGGGGACCCTATGAGGAGGGAGGGGCCCAAAGCCCAGGCTCCAGTCCAAGCCCAGACATCAACACTGCAATTTTATAGCTCTGTAGCCCAACTGACACAGGTCAGCTGCAGATGTTTTTATTGCAGTGTAGACATACCCAAAGTGCTTTACGATGGAGGTCACTATCATTATGTCTATTTTACAAATGGGGAAACTGAGGCACAGGGCGAGACGTGATTTGCCCTAGGTCACCCCACATGCCAGTAGCAGGAATTGAGCCCAGGTTTCCTGCAGTCTTGTCTGCTGCTTCACCCTCTAGGCCACACTGCATTTAATATAGCCCCTCCCTCAGGAAGGCAGAATAGCTCAATGGGTGGTGCCCTGGACTGGGGGGCAGGAGGCTTGGGTTGCATTCCCAGCTGTATTCTCACTGACCTTAGTCAAGACACTTCACCACCCGTGCCGCAGCCCCATTTGTAAAAAGTTCGTGATGATCCTGAATCTCCTTTGCAAAGCATTTTGAGCTCCAGGGAGGAGACACGCTACATAAGGTCTAATTGCAACTGTTATTATTTATGGCTATAACAAGTTTTTAGACAAATAATTTAAAAGTGCAGACTCAATAAATGAAACAGTCAATTGGAGCATGAATGACTCCCACTTGCTGGAAGCCCCTGCGAGGGTAGGCCCAGAACTGATCAGTGCCATAAGAGGAAAGGAATCTATTAGCTGCACATTCCTGATCTTGAAGGACGAGCCCTCCCCATTGCTTTAAATCATTCTGGGTTTTATTCTTCTGTGTCAGCACTGTCAGTGCCTATAATCCTCAACCAAAAGAGGCCATCCTAACCGACCAAGAGGGGGCTTAAAGTGAGGGATCCCTTTCAGCAAGGATGTGGCAAGCAGACTGATAACATAAAGGAAAAGAGAAAATACCCTGAGCTGAGATGCCTAACATTAGGGCCTGATCCCGAGGGTAAAAGCTAAGAGATCTCAGCTCCAAATGAAGACAACACCTCTCCAGATTGGGCCTTAATTTCTCCCCCTGTCTAAACTACCTTCACTATTATAATTAGAAACTAAAAATAAACCCATTCATGAGTCCTCTGCTGCAGGAGGCTCATGTGGTCCTGAAACAGGCCATGCTTACTGACCAGCCATGCGTTATAACCACTGTAATTGAGCAGGTAATTATTATACATTCTTGTAAACACACACCATTGGTAATTCATGTTGTGACACAGGAAGGATCCATGCAGCAGATAAATGTTACTTCTGCATTCATTATAAATAGCTGCCATGGTTCATGTTCCTCTCTGTGTGCATTATAAATCCACAAAGCAAGTAAAATATATTATGCAAGCAAAGTTTATAGGTATGCATTAGAAATTGATGCATTTGAGAAATAGTGCAGGTCTCAGAACTCCATGCTGTTTGCAGTCACAATACACGTCCAGAGGTGTTAACTGCCCACTTCATTGTAAGTGGCTTCTTGCAACACATGTTAATCCCTTATGCTTAACAGTCTGTCCCACCTTCTATTTAGTTGTGGTAGTGACACTCTGGCTACCTTTTCCAGCTCTAAAGAGCAGCTCTGTGTAGCTCGAAAGCTTGTCTCTTCCACCAAGAGAAGTTTGTCCAATAAAAGTTATTACGCTACCCTTCACCCACCTTGTCTCTCTAGGCTGCATGGGGGCAGGCAGTGTGGCTTGGAGGATAGGGCACTGCCCTGGGATTTAAGAGACTTGTATTTGAGTCCTGGCTTTGCCACTGGTTTGCTGGATGACCCTGGGCAAGTCACTTTCTCTCTACCTCAGTTTCCCATGCTGTAAAACAGGGAGAATGATACTGACCTCCTTTCTAAAGCACTGGTAGCTCCATGGATGTAAACAGCTCGATATTATCATTATAATATATTACAGAAGGCAGAAGTGTCTAGCTATTAGAACAAGAGGTGGAGTGTGCGTCAGGAACCAAGGGGTCTACTCTTAGCTCCTTTTGTGATTATGTGACCTTGGGCAAGTCATTCGCTCTCTCTATGCCTCAATTTCTCCATCTGTCAAATGGGAATAATTTACTCAACTTTGTAAAACACTTTGAGGCCCTCAGATGAAAAGTGCTGTATAAATGCAAAGTATTCGTTGCTACTGTTTAATGTCCTTTCCAAAGATTATTTAGATTACTGATTATTAAAGGTTAAAGATTATTGCAGTTCTTGCCTATCATTCTAATTTATACTACACCCATCAACCTAGTAACTAGGCACATAATGTGTTCCATTGATGGAGCTCGAGTATTGCTTTGTTATTTAATAGGAAAAAAACTGAATTCTCCAGGAGTTGCAAAGCTGTTTACTTCGCTCTTCTGCGAATTTTGCAAGAAACATACACTCAGCTGTTCTTCCTAAAGGAAAAAAAACCCCTCCAGATCCCAGAATCTTGTCTTCTTGGTGCACAATAAACAGAATCCAGATGTTTTAATCTGGGAGGAAAATGTTGTTTTGAATGTAACAGCCTGAATAGAACAACCCTGGAAAAAAACCCATCAACAATCCACCCACCAACCCACATAAAATCTGGCAGTTTCTAGCTTAGAGAAAAATAGAAGTGTCCTGATGTCATGTCAGGTTAAGAGAATGGATGGGAGAAGAGGAATTGGTTTCATCACTAACCAAACAGGGCATCTCAGGCAAGATTTATAATCATGCCAACTCCTATAATTGTCCCAAGTGAGTCTTATGAAACAATCAGAATCCTGAAAGTGGGTTTGCTTGTATTTAATATAAGTGGCAAATGGAGACACCAATTGTCTGGCCCAGATAATCACACTTTTGTATTGTTTCTAGATGCTAAAGAGGGCCATACTTGGACATGAGTGCGGTCCAGCGTCAATGATACACTGCTGTCTCTGCCTCATAGAGATTTCTTCCCCCATCCTATCATTTTCTTTATAACAAAAATAGTACCTAGCTTTTACAGAGTGCTTTTCTCTGGATGGTGTTTTAATTTACGGGCAAAGGGAATATAATTTTTGCAGCATGATGAAGCCATTGTAATTCTTCTTCTGCTCAGCTTGCTGGTCTGGAGACACAAGGAAGTTATAAACTGGGGAGTAAATATGGAGTTTAAAATAAGGAGAGTAGGAGCATAAGCCATGTCATCAGTATATCCTGCCAGTAGGCACTATGGCCACAGAATAAGGCTCCAGCCTCCCAAAGAGAAACTCACAGTGGGACTCTTGTATCCACATAAGTTATGTCTACACTGTACATTAAGACTGGGGTCTGACTAAAGTTTTGTCTTCCCCCTCGATCCCCCCGTTCCATCCATACACAAATCAGTCTAATCTGGGTCAGCAAAGACTCAGGACTGAGGTCCTAGGACCCTGCTGGAGGGTGGGTCAGAGCCTGAGTCCCACTGCGACTCAGGCCCAAGGCCTGTCATTTGGCAGTGTGGACGCAGCTCAAGCAGCAGATGCAAGTCAGAAGGGCTGCGTAGCACCGTATGGAGGCGTTACCACGGCTGTGAGACCCGGGTCCAGCAACTGTAAGCCCAGGTTTACAATACAATATGGACATTCAAGTGCAGGCTTGGAAACACTGAGTCCATAGCTCAGGTCCCACGGCACTGTAAACCGGGGTCTGTATCGAGATACCCAGAGAGTTGCATTGACTCCAATGAGCCGCTGGGATCTGCCTATGCACATCTTGTTGCAGGATCGGATCCTAAGTGGATACATAAACCCTTCTGAATCTCTTCCTGTACAGAGAGAGACAGACCATGAATGGGGCCAGTTTGAAAACTGCACACACACTGCCCTGCTGATTGCCTTCTTCCCGTCTCTCTCCCTGTAACACACACAAGCAGTGGACCTCTAATCGAGTTGAAGAGGAAGGATGCTCTTGTGTCTAAGGCACTGGACTGGGACTCAGGAGATCTGTGTTCAGTCGCTGCTTCTGCCATAGATTTCCTGGGTGACCTTGGGCAAGTCACGTCTGGGTCTTAGTTCCATCCCTGTAACATAGGGACAATCATACTCCTTTTCTCCCACCCTTTGTCTGCCTTATCTCTTTAGGCCTTGATGCTGATTGAGCAGCACATGGGTGAATTGCTTTATGCCTGCCCAGAACGCTAATGTCGTCCATGGCCTATGCTCACGTGTTACACAATGCAGGACTGGGGCCTTAGACTGCAAGCTGTTCTGGGCAAGAAACGTTTCTTCCTATGTGTACAGCATTTAGCACAAAGGGGCCTCTAGACACTACTGGTCTACACAGAACAACTTATATCTTGCACGGTGCTGTAACTAGCAGCCGCACAGAGCCCAGGTAATTCCAGTGGAATTTGACCCATCTAACTGAGGGTGCAGTTTGGCTCATTCTCATCACTGCCAGAGCTGGTGTACAGTTACTCAGCAAGCTCTAGCCATGTGCCGTTAAAGGGCCTAATGTCCGATCTAAAGCTCTCGGGAGTTGGGGGAAGACTTTCCATTGACTGCAGTGGGCTTTGGATGAGGCCTGACTAAGAGCAAAAACACTGCCATGAGAAACGCAGAGACACGTCTTTCCCCCAATTGTTGTGCCCTGTTTCACGATCCATCGTATCTTTGTTAACAGAAAATGACAAATATGCTTTTCTAGCCGCCCTGCCTTTCTGGCACATGGGTCAATACCACCCACATTCACCCATGTTCTAGACTCAGCTCTGCAAGGTGCTGTCACGATTGCCTCATTCCCTGTCTGTCCACTGGCTTGGAACGCCAAGAGTAGCCCATAATTAACAAGCATTTCACTCCCTCTCTTAGAATAAATTTAGTCAGTGAGTCAGTCTGCTTGCAGTCCTAAAACAAGTGTTTGTTTCATAGGAATA